GTATCACAAGAAATTGACAAAGAGGTTGAGGATCCTGAACCAAAATCTATGATTGAATGTCAGAAAAGACATGATTGGGACAAATGGAAAGGTGTTATTCAAGCTGAGTTAGATTCACTTAATAAACGAAAGGTTTTTGGACCTATTACCATTATACCAAAAGACATAAAACCTATTGGATACAAATGGGTTTTTGTCAGAAAAAAGAAATGAGAAAAATGAGATCACAAGATATAAAGCTCGCCTTGTAGCACAGGGATTCTCCCAGAGGCCTGAGATCGATTATGATGAAACATATTCCCCTGTTATAGATGCAATTACTTTCAGATACTTGATTAGTTTAGTCATCCATGAAAACCTTGAGATGCGTCTCTTGGATGTTGTGACTGCTTACTTATATGGATCGCTGGACGCTGACATTTATATGAAAATTCCAGAAGGGATTAAAATACCCGAAGCACTAAAATCCAAACCTAAAGAGTTATGTGCGATAAAACTGCAAAGATCATTGTATGGCTTGAAACAATCCGGGCGTATGTGGTATAATTGTTTGAGTGAACAATTACTAAAACGGGGATACATAAATAATCAAATATGCCCGTGTGTTTTTATAAAAAGATCACAAAATGGAGTTGTGATAATTGTTGTCTATGTCGATGATCTTAATATTATTGGGACTACAAATGAAATCCAAGAAGCAGTCACTTTACTGAAAGACGAATTTGAAATGAAAGATCTCGGACAAACCAAATATTTTCTCGGCTTAAATAGAACGAGTCCAAAATGGGATATTTGTCCATCAATCTAATTACACTAAAAGGATATTGAAACGATTCAATATGGACAAGGCTAATCCTCTTTGTACCCCAATGGTCAATCGAACGTTAGATGTTGAAAAGGATCCATTTCGACCTTGTGAAAAAAACGAAGAAATACTTGGTTCTGAAATACCATATATGAGTGCAATAGGAGCTCTGATGTATCTTGCAAATTGCACCAGACCAGATATATCTTTTGCTACCAACTTGTTAGCAAGATATAACTCGTCACCTACGAGGAGACACTGGAATAGAATCAAGCACATATTCCGTTATCTCCAAGGGACAATCGATTTGGGATTGTTTTACTCAAATGATAAAAAACATGAAATGATCGGTTTTGCAGATGCAGGATATCTATCAGACCCCCATAAAGCAAAATCTCAAACTGGCTACGTTTTCACGATCGGTGGAACTGCGTTTTCTTGGTGTTCCCAGAAACAAACATTAGTCGCGACATCTTCAAACCATGCTGAGATCATTGCACTTCATGAAGCAACTAGGGAAAGCATCTGGCTCAGAAACATGACTCAACATATTCAACAAGCCAGTGGACTATCAAATAATAATGACCCGACGGTGATCTTCGAAGACAATGCAGCATGTGTCGCTCAAACCAAAGAGGGCTACATTAAGAGTGACAGAACTAAACATATCCCACCAAAGTTCTTCTCATATGCTCAAGAGCTTGAAAGAAACAAACAAATCAAAGTTCAATACATTCGATCAAGCGATAATGCAGCAGATTTATTTACGAAGGCGCTTCCGACTACAATATTTCGAAAACACGTGCACAGTATTGGAATGAGACATCTTCGGGATTTACATAGATGATAACTCGAGGGGGAGCATGTGTGGCTGTACTCTTTTTCCCTTATCTCGGTTTTTTTTCGCACAAGGTTTTTCCAGATAAGGTTTTTAACGAGACAACATAAACGCACAATTAATAGTGGTAATTCCAAGGAGGAGAAATGTTATACTTCCACAATGCTCTGGTTTTATCCCAACGGGTTTTTCTGAGGAAGTAATGTTGTGATTTCAATATGATCAGGTTTTGTCCCATTGGGTTTTTCCTTACATAATGAAGCAGCGATACTATCAGGCCACAAGATACACTTCAAAATGTTCATATTATGTTTTGTTTGAATAATGATATTTAGAAAATAGTCATTCAAGGGGGAGTGTTATAATATGTACGCGCATGCACCACGAGGAGATTAACTATATATATGTGAATGACTATTTTGTCTCTGATGTAATTGTATTATTATGATTGTGTCATCAGAAGTTTTCCTATAAATAGGAGCTTCAGTTATAATGAAAATCACACCTACGAGAATACAGTTTCTTTATTCTCTCTCTTTTCCTTCTAAGTTTTATAACAAAAAGTATATTATTTTTTAAAAAAACTTTTATTTATTTTTATAATAAAAAATGATAATGTCATTCCATTCCAGTCCTATTTATTCTGCATACCAAACACATCAATGACAAAACATATTTCATTCCATTCCCATAATCATATCATTCTTCAATTCATTCCATTCCTACGAAATTCCATTCTATCATACCAATCATGCCATAATAGTTAAGCTAAAACACAAGGGTAGCTTTTGCAGCCAACACAATGGCTAACAAGAAGCTCACTCTCCACATTAGTAGATACTAATACCTTCACTTTGCGTGCTTATAATTGACCTGGCTGTAGGACCACTGATCTTATGGATTTCTGAGCAAGTGGAAAATTTGTACCTAAAAAGAGAGGTTGTTCTTTAAATAACATACCATTGGTCACAAACAAATTGATGAAGACGAGCTCGCGATAGTTTTTTTGGAGAAATACAATCGAAACCCGGCGTTTAAATAACTATTTTTATTCGCATAACCATTATTTATATTATTCCTTATTTATCTCTTTTCATTGTTAGGTTAATATTTATCTTTCAGGATTTAAACATGATTAGCAAGATTTGGAGTTTATTTGTCATAGGAGTTTTTATTTGTCAGAGGAGTCTATTTATGCTGTGGAGAGGGGATGGAACGATGGTTTTTTGGGTGAAACAAGAAAATTATGTGCTTGAGATTTTTATCACTTGTCCATTCGTTTAACGCTGCGCTACATACAAATTGCCAAGTCCTAGCAAGTCTTCAGTTTCCTGAATGGTGTATGCTAGGAAGTAGGAAGAAGTATCCATCAAACTAATTTGTCATCTCCAGGTTCAGTACACATAAATTCAAATAACCCGAAAGACATTTTTGCCTTAATAACAGTATTAGCAGCAAAAACATTTGAAGTCTAATCCACTATCGCAATTTTATTTCACATAATATAAACATTTCCACGAACAGATGCAACCATAATTCATATACTTGAATAGTCCCACTCACCTAGCAGCTTCAGTTCACGAAGCCTACAATATATTAAGGAATAATAATTAGAAATCGTAAAACTAATTAAATCAATACATACCACAATTGTGGTCAGGGAAAAAAGGTGACCACTTTGAGCTAGTTTGACTTACCTCTGAAACTGCTGTGTGTCGACAAACTTCAAAGAGAGCTGAAATCCAGGTGAATGCATATAAATTGTGTTGAACTATGAGAAAAGACCACATGCCTAGCTATTAAAATTGGAACAGTCCATGTGAGCATCCAAATGCAAGACAGTGATTCATTAAATACTAAATCAATCTTATTCCTCACCTAATCCCCATGATTCAGGTAGAAAATTATGCAGAGATGCACGATAGTTACGAATCTGATAACATGTCACAAGTAAAACGCAGCACTCTCAAAGACCATGTTTCAAATCCGAGAGCAACAACATGACAATAAATAAAAGTGCAACACCACCAAGTAACACCAATGAAACAGTACAAAGATCACTGCAAAACGAAACAAATTTCGAAAAAAATCAAAGTATAGATGACCATAATAACCTTTGGAGTTCCCTGGAGCTCAATTGTGTTAGCTTTTATATCAACAATACCAGAATATATATTGTCGTCAACATGCATCTTCTGAACGAGAAGATCAAGGATGCCAAGTTATAACTCAAACAGCCTGCAACGCCATCAGTAGATATTCTATTCCAATTTTCAGAAAACTATTCACATTGTTAAACTTCTTGCTTTGTTAGAAGGGAATTACACAAACCTTAGAATTCACCAAAAATTGTTCCAAATCACGCAAACCTAAGACGAGTGAGTGATACTACTTGAGCTACATGCTTGAGGTATACATATAAAATTTGATATTTTTTGTCAAAAACAATCTATTGAAGTGAAATATATCACACCATCATTAAGAAATCCCAAGGTTTGTAAGACAGCATCATGTGCAAAAGGTAGCACAAAACAAATTAGAAAATGAAGGAAATTACAATCTAGACTAGCAATTTCACATGTTAAACAGGGATGAAATGTTTCCACAATAATGTGATTCACTCTTATCTTTCATCATCTGATTAAAAGGGCCAAACACATATAAGCTGCAAATTTCAATTTCCCATGATGACAGGCAACATTCATTATCCACAAAAACGAGCAGCTATATTGATCATACTAAATCAAGAAGAATTGACACAAGGCTGCCCAAATTTCAAAAAGAAAACAACATAAAAAGGTTCGAAAAACATGACGCCAACACACATATTCCTCCTTAACTACTACATAAAGCCTGAGATCTTTGTCTCTCTCTATCTCCCTACCCTCAGCAACATATAAAATTTAATTTCATCTCGGTCCTCCTTGCAACCTTCGAGAACTGCAAATAACCAACCTTCGAGAACTGCAAATAACCAACGTAAGATGAGATGTATTTCATTGTTAACATGCTATGATTACTATAAAGCTTAATGTATACCTGGTATCTCTCAAACCAACACCATTGCCAGCACAGCTAATAAGTCACCCATGATTCTAATCTCTTTCTCCTCATCACCTACCCGAGCCGTCAAACATTTTTGTCTTCCATCAACGTATTCCGGAAGTATGAAGCTATGATCATCTTAGTAAGAATATTTGATAGCGTCTGCCAATTTGTCTTCCATAATGGATGTACTAAAGCCAAAACATGCTTGGTAGATCTCTATACTTGTGACAAATTGGCAGACGCTATCAAATATTCTTACTAAGATAATCATAACTTCATACTTCCGGAATACGTTGATGGAAGATAAAAATGTTTGACGGCTCAGGTAGGTGATGAGGAGAAAGAGATTAGAACCATGGATGACTTATTAGTTGGTGTTGGTCTGAGAGATACCATGACAGGTATACATTAAGCTTATAGTAATCATAACATGTTAACAATGAAATACATCTCATCTTACGATGCAAATAATACGATGGTTATTTGCAGTTCTTGAAGGTCGCAAGGAGGACCGAGATGAAATTAAATTTTATATGTTGTTGAGGGTAGGGAGATAAGAGAGAGACAGAGACTCAGGCTTACAGTACTCTCAATGAGACAAGCATAGTAAAGCTCCATGCACTGCATTTAAAAAAAAAAAAAAAAAAAAANGTAAGTTCCCTTTTCCCTTCAAGAAATGGTTAGAATATTATAAAGACATATTAAGTACTCACCACCATTCAGTTGTCACAAATTAAATCTAAAAGAAAAGGCACTAATTCAGTCTGGCCAATCATAAAGCGCAATCGCTGATACAGCCACACTTCCTGCAGTACGGATCTCCTCACTAGGACCATCAAGCAATGCTAAAAGTAGTCCTTTCACGGTTGCCTAATAGAATAACAGAATTAGGTGATATATTAACATGTAATCAACCCTTTCCAGCTTCATCTATCTTACATGTCTACAAATTATCAATGCCACTCAAGCTGAGCAGAAACGTAAGTTCATCTAATTTAGCACCTGGTTATTAAGTAGAGAAAAAAACTATCTAAAGCTCTAAGCTTTAAGCAAGACTAGATCTCTTCATTAAGTCCATATTACCTCATAAAGAAACAAGAAACAAGGATTTGAGACAAGAAATATTGTCAATACTGCAGCCCAGTACACTTTTTAAGTAGGTTTTTAATAAAGTAAGAACATATTATTCAAAAAGGTGGATCTTATCTTCAAACTGTATAAAAGATTTAATAGATTTTTTAGTGCACCTTCTCCTTGCTCTCAACAACGGGATGCTCAAAGCCTTCCTCATCCTCATTCCAATGTTTACTGATAAATTGCTCTAGCGAAACTGCTGCTACGTGAATGCGTGTTAATCTAACAATGGCTAAGCTAAAAGGAACTCGACTGGACTATATGTAACACGTAGGAATAGTAAATTATGTAAGAAGAAATAGGTAAATTCTCTAATTAAATCACAGCATCATCAAGGATATCAGCCGCGTTTTAAAATATCTATTTTTTTTTCCTGTTTTTAGGTAACAATGCCGCGTTTTAAAAATAATCCCATATATATAAACTTTATTTTCGGAATCAAAGCAGCATTTTAGCAAATCTGATATATTTTGGAATCAAAGTCGTGTTTTAGTATATCATATAGGTGTTACTTTATTTTATGTGCTATCAATAAAGGTTTGGTACTAAACTAATAATGGAGATTCTTTTACTTTTTAATTAGCAATAGATAATAAAAAAAGTAATATGTTTTATATAAAAGATTCAATATGTTATTTAAAAAAATAAATACATATAATTATAACTTTCTATATGGTTGCGCCAATAAGGAACAATTTTTGTTTGTTATAAAAAAATAAAAACATTTGTACTATAAATTAGATCGTATTTAAAGGTTAGCATGCATTTTTAACAAATAATATGATTTTTTAAAATCATTATATTTTAAATTTTGTCATAAATACATTGTTTATTAAAATCCTGTAACACAATTTATAAAATCTGTTTAATTTTAATCGATTATACTTATAATATAATACTAATACTAATAATAATAGTATTAGTGATAATAATAATAATAATAATAATAATAATAATAATAATAATAATAATAATAATAATAATAATATACATCTGCTTATTATAAATTCAAAAATTAAATCTACAAACGTAAAAATAGTTTGAATTCGCCTTTTAATTTAAAGGTAAAGATACCATGATATATAGATACCCTAATTTTGTTTTCTTTTATATTGTTAAATATAAAATTCAACACACATTGGGTAGAACCAAATTTGCCGAAAAATTTGATGATGACTTAAAAAGATAAATACACGAAAATCGTGGTTCCAAACTCTGTCGATATGATACACCATTATATAAATCCGTTTAGTTTAAATTATTCATTTAATTTAGATCAATATTAACCCAAATATGTAGATACCATAATTGCGTGTTGTTTAATATTGTAAAATATTCAACACGTTTTAATCCTAAGCAGATTTAATGCAAAATTAGAGAAAGATTCTACAAGATAAATACAAACGTACAATTCCACAAGATAAATACAACATTAGAGAACGGTTCTACAAGATCTCTACACGTTTTAAATAAAACAACCAATGAGAATGGTAAAGATTTTTATCACTGCTATATCATTCGGTTTACTATTGTCCAAATCATGTAGAGATTTTTTTGCTTCTGTTATCTCGATTTTTTTGCGTCTTTTATGGTGAGAAACTTATCTTTTGAAATCATCATACGTCTAAACAAACGCATTATGGAATATTTACCATACTATTTAGTATTTTTACTTTTTACTTTAATAATATTAAGAAAACATTTTTTATGTCACATTATAACTTTCAATATATATATATATATAGATAGATAAAATAAGAATTGACTTAAATCATTTTTAGCAATCTTTTCCCTCCATTATCATTAAATACACCGTATTTATAGTAATTCTTTATAGAAAAAAATATCGCAACATTAGATGTTAATTCTTTATACAATTTAGTGTTTTTAATATTTTAAACATACATGTTTAATGTTCTTTTAAACAAGATAAAAAACTATAAAAATATCAGTGAATATTATTTAGCTAATCAAGTATAATCGATATTAAAATGATAAACTAACAACTCATTTGTCGAACTGCCATATAAATTATCAAATTATAAATAGATCCATCTTAGACTTCTATTTAAGTTCTAGCGACACCAATTCCTTCTGATTTTGGGGTTCCATTAAACAGTCAAGGTCAATCTTTTTGTATAAAAAATATAGAAATTTTAGTGAATATTATTTAACTAATCAAGTAATAGATATTAAAATGATAAACTAACAGCTCATTTGTGTGACTGCCTAAGTAAATTATCATATTATAAATATATTCATCTTAGGATTCCATTTAAGTTGCAGGAGCACCAGGTACCTCTAATCTTAGGGTTCCATTTAAGAGTCAGGGTCAGTCTTTATGTGCGGTAGCATATTATTAAAGAAATTGGTTCTTAGCCACGGCCAGTTATATGTTTTATGTGTGGTAGCATATTATTAAAGAAATTGGTTCTTAGCCACGACCAATTATATGTTGTTGTTTTACGTGTAAGTAATAGATAAGAGATGTGCATTGACATGTTCTTAAAATAATCGGTTTTGATCACGACAAATTATATATTGTTGTTACGCGTGTAAATAATAGATAAAGAAGAGTCAAAGTCAGTCTTTACTATACGCTGGCATGTTCTTAAATAAAGCGATTTTTAGTGACGGACAATTTAGTTTGTGGGGACGACGAATTGCTCAGTTATTAAACAAATAATGTTGTGTACAAGAAAGTTTTTAATAATATATTTTTTTTTTCATGAGTAAAATTTTATTATTTGACAATTTCCCTACAAATTATCACTTTTTTATTTATTAATACATTTCAATTCCCCAAAATAAATACAGCCCGTGCATCGCACGGGTTACATATTAGTTCTACTTTAAAATCGGAAGAAAAATCGTGAAAAGGCAGTGGATATTTCGTTAATTTAGCATGAAATTTGCGTTAATTAAGCAAATGGATATTCTCCTTAATAATGGTGATATTTCCGTTAATTAAGCATGTGAAATTGATTGTCCGTTGCAAAAATCATGAGAATTACTATCTATCCAAGTACAATCCATAATTATCTTATCACTTTTGGTTAATAAAAAATAGGTGAAATTGGTTGTCCGTTGCAAAAATCATGGGACTTACTATCTATCCAAATACAATCCATAATTATCTTATCACTTTTGGTTAATAAAAAATTGTATAAAAGGATATTCATTACCACCATTACAACTCATCATTCACGAGTTCAGAGAAAAAAATATACAGAGAATAATTTTACAATATAATGCTTCCAGACTGGGGTACACTTGATTCCGTTAACAAAAGAAACAAACCATAATTATCTTATCACTTTTGGTTAATAAAAAATTGTATAAAAGGATATTCATTACCACCATTACAACTCATCATTCACAAGTTCAGAGAAAAAAATATACAGAGAATAATTTTTCATGGCATATACAATATAATGCTTCCAGACTGGGGTACACTTGATTCCGTTAACAAAAGAAACAAACTTTGCACCCCGCATTATTGAAACCCAAAAAAGCATTATTGAAACCCAAAAATATACAGAGAATAATTTTTCATGGCATATACTAATGCTTCCTGACTGGGGTACACTTGATTCCGTTAACAAAAGAAACAAACATTTTTTTGCGTCTGAGAGCACCCCGCATTATTGAAACCCATCAAGAACGGGAGAGCTGTAACGCATTCCATATACTGTTTCATGATGAACAGGTAATATTTTGCCTTTGTTATTTCAATTTTATATAATTTAGAAAATTATTTTAATTAATATTTATAAATTTGTATCGTAGGTGCTTTCATTCAATGAATAATACGTTATCCGAATATGAGAGCAACAAACTTTATATAAACTGAGAGCAGTCTAATTTTTGTAAAATATGTAAACTTTAAACGTGTTTTTATATATAAAATTGTATATACTTTTAAACATGTTAGTTGGGCAAATTTTAAGGATATATATATATATATGTGTGTGTATGCTAACTTTAAGTATATATATTTTTCTTATAAGTTAGTCTAGACAAAATTGAGGTTATTTCACATTTTTCAATAATAATATAAAATATTTTAATACTTTCACATATGTTATATAATAGTCTACGTTTTCTTAATGTCTTTTAGTTGTAACATTGTTAACACATATAATATTAGATACTTTTAAACATATTTAGATAATTTTTTTAATCATTCTTTAATATCTATGTGCATAAAAAGAGAATAAGATTTATAAAAGATTTCCGGCAATATACTAAATGTTAGATAAAAAATCTCATTGTATTTGTTATATAATATTTCGAGTTGCATTAATTTTGATTTGTATGTGTAAAATTGATAAATTAAGCGTATGAAAAGGAGCGTACGAATTACTGTAAGGATTTAAAAAATAAAAAATAAATCTAATTTTTGAATATTTTCTACTAACTTCTAAACGAATTTATGTTATAATTCGTCATAATTTTCCCACATCATGTCAATATTTATTTTATATATACTAGGTAAAAGATAAAGCATTATCTCAATATTTATTCTATATATTCTAAGTAAATCTTCTCATCTATCTCAACGGTCCGCAAGTAGTATTTCATACTTTTCTATTCATAATCAAATATATCAAAGCTTCACAAATTTTACTTCACAAATAAAGTGTTCAATAATTTATATTTTTTTCCATTCTTTGCAATCCATTTATTTTTGTTACATATATATAAATTATATTATTTTTAATATTTCACACGTTAAACATTTCAAGAAAATATACCATCCCGTGCATCGCACGGGTGAAAAACGTAGGTTTTGATGTTTTTCCACTTCTTTTTTTTGCTTTTGTTTTTGTCCACTTATTTTTTTCCTTTTTTAAATAAATAAATCACCCCCAAATGGTCTGTAAATTATCTGAAGTCCATTGAATTTGTTGTTTATTATATAAAGATTTGATTTCTCCATCTCTCAATTGGACAGACTCCTGTTGATGCCTCCTCAAAAGATGGCCAAGTTACTCCCAACTCCATCTTTGAAAAACCCCGCTTTGTATCTGGAACAGTGGAAAGAGATTTGAAGAATATAGGAACATTTATACCTGGTTTCCAGCTGATCAAAAGGTACTATTCCTACTATATTTCCTGGACTCTTTCTTGAGATGCAATATTAGCTACAGAGCTGCCATTGCATTTTAGGCCGTTTAAAAGAAAATACATTCACGTTTTAACAAATATTATACGCGTTCTAATTTTTTAGCTTTAATTTATTGGATACGATTGACAGAATTATTGGTACATCATAATTTCTTATTGAATAAAAGAACTTTCTGCTTGGCAGAAGTAGGACCATATTTAGGATACTAAAGAAATTGCTTGATAATATGTTCTGGGAATCGCAGTACAAGTTCATATCCTACAAATATTTGAAGAAGGAGCTCAATTCGATCTTTCCCATCCCATGGAGGTATTTGCGAGAATTGTTGTGGGAGCATCAGTTCGAGCGAAGATATCATGATTTTTCTTCATCCCACCCAATCCGCGATTTGTTTTCTCTTTAATCATCAATGGCCAAAACCCAATTTTTTTCTCTCATCTACGCACATGGACGAATATATGTATGCTCTGCTAATATGAGTAATGTCTTTGATGGTCTCATCATGTTCGGATGTGGTTAGTAATTACTTCATTCTTCTACAAACATTTTCCTCCCAAATATTTATTTCCAGCGTTCTCGAATTACATTTTCTCAAGTTATTTGATTAGTTTTTGAACTTCCTGTTTTTGCAGTCACAAAAGAGCAATAAATATATGGGCACTTCCCGATACTATGCAGTTACTAAATGGTCAAATTTTGCGTGTAATTATAGATAAATCTAGATCCGGCTGTACTAGTATTTGGATGGCGTTTTGTTGTGTCATTTGCTTGTCCAACCTTTATTAATCAAATATAGTTGAATGTGCATGCTCATATTTTGATGATTAAAAAAAATATATGTCCTATCTAACAAAAATTACACATAAACAAACGGGAGTGGAGGTATTGTGCCGTTGTGCAATTATACACCTCACGAATTGTTATTTATCGGGTATAAAAATTACACGGGAATCCTACGAACTGATATGTAATTTTTCAGTTCTTACAAATAATCTAAAAAATAGAAAATTACAATTGATCTGAGAAAAAAATAAATTACAACTGAAAAATAAATTAAAACAGAAAGATTTTAGCCGAGGCGAGTAAAACTCTTTCCGCAAGAAGAATACGCCCCGTGTGGCAGCTAACGGTTCAGGCGTAACTTCCCCAAAGATACAACGGCAAACGTCTCTAAATCTGTAGCACACCAGATTTACGAGTTCCAGCGAACTAGAACGGAGTCGAGAATTGAGCACTAAAAGAAAATAAATATATATATATATATTTTTTTTTTCTTTCTCTTTTTCTTTCCG